GACAGACTTGCAGAATGTGCCCTTTAGTTGTTTAAATTATTATATGTTCCTGAATGTTTTTGTGTACAACAAAAACAAAAAAAAAACTACACACAAAAACAGAGGGAATAGAGGCAAATACTGTTGAATGAAGATGCAAGGAGGGGATTGTAATCATTACAATGAAATGAAATACCATAGGATGAGTATAAAACTGATATTCCCCCATGTAAACTATCATTCAATTCACAATAAAAACTTGAAAAAAAAAAAGTATATTGACCTCAATGGAGGATATGGTGAGAAACAACAGTTTCACGTGTTGATATTTTTGTTTTATAACGGTTGTTATGATTTTGTAGCAAAAAAAAAAAAAAAAATTATATATTCCTAAGTGTTTTTGTGTGCATCTCCCCAACCCCCTTAAAAAAAGAAAAAGAAAAAGAAAACCAGAGGGAATGGAAGCAAATACTGTAAATGATGTTGCATGGAGGAGATTGTAATCATTGTAATGAAATGATGGTGTGAAGCCGATGTTCTCCCATGTAAACTATCACTCAGTTCACAATAAAAAATAAAAATAAAAAAAAGGAGACTGGAGCCAATACGATAACCCAAGCCTTTTCAGGGATGGTGAAGGACTTTCGAAAAGGACCACATGAAGCAGGATGAGATGAGTAGAGCTTCCCTTGTCACTGAACATACAATTCAAGAAAAGTGACCATTGAGTTGAATGGACGAGACTCCTTTTGTCTCTTTACTGAATCCGTACAATTCTCCTAAGCTGAACACAAAGTTTGCTGAGAAATCAAAAACTGAAACTCTTGGGATTGTAATAACCATATGAGTAAAATATTGATGATACAGAGATTAATTCTGTGAGTGTGCCTATGTATTATTTTAAGCTAATGTCTTCAAGTATTATTGAAATTTCTTGGTTCCTTACTTACACTGATTCTAATACGAGATTCCCTTATAATCAGAACGGTTCCTAAACTCGGGAGCTTTAAGCTAGACAAACATTAGAAATAACATCCAAATTGGGCATGTTTTATTTTAAGGATTATATTAACATAATGAAAGGTTTAAGGCACAATATCCAAAATTGTATAATGAATTCAAATCAATGCTGTATATGTCCATATTACATTTCTATTTTATTTTAAAGATGTTTTCAGTAATAATAAAAGCTATGATTTATCACACACACACACACACACACACACACACAAAGATTGGGGGTAAACAAACAAATGTAGGATGATTCTTTATTCAGAATACTTTCCAAGAGTAAGTTCTGGTACCACTTTAAAGAAAAGGAAACTGGAAATACCATATGGTGCATTATTGGGTGTGGATTACTCAGGAAAGACAACCGGACATTCCCATCAAGAGGCCATAGGAAAGGCATTGGACTTACATCAAAGAATGGTGAATGGACACACATTTAGATTTTTTAAGTTAAAATAAAACGTTGAAAGTAAAAAAATTTTTTTTCGCTCTGTGGAGGGGATTGTAATCATTGCAATGAAACAAAATACGATAGGATGAGTGCAAAACCTATGTTCTCCCATGTAAATTGTCACTCAATTCATAATGAAAGCTTTAAAACAAAAACTTACTAGAAAATTCACTTCCCCTCACTGGGCTCCAGTACCCTCATCAGTTAGTAGAGGCTAGACTAAATATTTTCTAAAGGCCCCATCTTCAGCTCTTTAAAACATACTATATTAATAATCATAATGATGCGGCACAGTAGGATAACTACTGGACTGCTAACTGAAAGGTCAGCAGTTCAAACCAATGAGTTGGAATCAACTTGACAGCAATTAACAACATATTAATAATGAAACAGTACCCACATACCTTCAGACTGAGACCCAAAATTCACTCAAGAAATTAAACAACGTATTGCATTAGACAAATGTGCTGCGCAAGACCTCTTTAGAGTGTTGAAGAGCAAAGATGTCAATCTGAGTACTAAGGTGCACCCGACCCAAGCCATGATATTTTCAATAATGTCATATACATGTGAAAGTTGGACAGTGAATAGGGAAGACCATAGAACTGATGCATTTAAGCTAGAGTGTTGGAGGAGTATCTTAAAAGTACCATGGATTGCCAAAAGAACAAACCAATCTGCGTTGGAAGAAGTACAGCCAAAATGCTTCCTGGAAGCCAGGATGGTCAGACTTAGTCTCTCATACTTTGGACCCACTATCAGGTGGGACCAGTCCATGGGGAAGGATACCATGTTTGGTGAAGTGGAGGGTTGGAGAAAAAGAGGAAGATCCCCTAACTAAATGGATTGATACAGTAGCAGGAGCAATGGACTCAAATGTAGCAAGGGTTGTGAGGTTGGTGTGGGACCAGGCAGTGTTTTGTTCTGTTATGTATAGGGTTGCTCTGAGTGAGTACCGACTCAATGGCACTTAACAACAATAAACATTCACTCATTTAAAATATATTTCTAGAGTACCAATAGTAAGTTGTGTTGTTGTTAAGTGCTGTGGAGTCAGTTCCAATTGAGAGCAACCCTGTACAGTGTTTCTGAAGAGCAGCTGGTGAGTTTGAACCACCAACTTTGTGGTTGGCAGTACAGTGCTTATCCTACATCATCACACCAGGAGTTAAGCATTGAAAGTACAAAATATCAAATAGATAAATTCATTGTTTCATATGTTTTTCTTTTCACTTATGTGTATAACATTTTTTTCACTCACATATAATAAAAACTTCCAGTTGTGTTCCTACTAAAACCAAAAAATAAACAAATAAGTTTGCTATCTAGTAAAATGGGCATGTAAACAAATCCTCAGTCTTATGTGCTATTGTATCTAATATAACTGTGAAGCAGGTGCTCTAGAACCCCAGTCATCCACTTACTCAGTGCTTTGCAGTATACATCCAAAAAATCAAATCAGTTGCATCAAGTCGATTCTAACTCATGGCAACCCCATGTGTATTACAGTAGAACTGTGCTCCATGGGTTGATTTTTCAGAGTAGATCACCAGGCCTTTCTTCTAATGCACCTCTGGGTGAACTTGAATCTCCAGCCTTGTGGTTAGCAGCAGTGTGTTATGTATTTGCACCATCCAGGGACACAGTGTTCTTACATTTCCCTAAAGTTTACACCTCCCTCACAACCTAAAATTGTTATCCCAGTTTTATAAATGAAGAACCTGAAGATAAAAGAGGTCTAGAGTTTTCCTAAAACAGATCAGATCTTTTACTATATTTATTCTGCTGGAAATGGGTGTGCAGTGGGGAAAGGGGGCTCAAGGAAGGCCCGAAAGAGGCTATGTGTCCTGTAGTCTCCGAGATCTCCTTTCTCTGTGAAGACCACGATTCGATTTCCTAAATGGGCCTTACTGGAAAGCCTTGTCAATTGTCTTCTTATGAGTCAGTCTTTTCCTCTCAGCCAGAGGGCGAGTTTACTGGGAATAGAGACCTGGTCACATTTCACTATATCCCTTTGTAGCTACTGTTGATAGCAAGTTGCTATCACTAGTTATTGTATGATAGTGTATTGAACTATATTGTCAGAAAGTCCTGGACCAGGAGACATTTGGTGGTGTGGGGAGGAAAGGCAGGTGAATTCTTCTCTAGTAATGACTAGTCTAGGAGTCAGAGTTCTTAAAGAAGTAATGGACTACAAACCACAAGGTCAGCAGTTTGAGCCCATCAGTCTCTCCGTGGGTGAAAGATGAGGCTTTCTGCTTCCACAAAGATTTATAGTGTCAGAAACCCTATACGGGGGCCTATGAGTCCAACCTACCCCACGGTATTTAACAACAACAAAAGAAAGAGCACATGAGGGCCTTGCCTGATGAATTTTCCCAGTGGAGGAGACAGAAAATTTAAGACAAACGAGGGAGTGAAGAAATAGCTTGAAAAAGTCTGTTCTTGTGAGCAGTGGAAAAGAAATGTAGAAAGATGGTGTTCAGCCCAGATCCTGTCCCATATCTTAATGACAGACTAAACCAAGCCAAACCCCCTGCCATAGAGTCGATTCTTAAAGATAGAAAGGGATGGAAACGTCTAAATCAGCCATGACAACAGAATCTTCGTTTTCTTTGTCCCTCTTCAGAGCCACCAGTCCTTTTGATATCTCACAACAATGCTTCCAAGGAGGAATGACTGTCTCTTATTTATCCATGAAGTCTAGCACACAGCGAGGTGTCATCTGCCCAAAGCCACGCAGGATATGAATTCAGGTCCGATGAGCCCCAGGTGCTGCAGTGGGGCGATTCTGGCAGTAGGAAAATGGACAGGTAGCCGTGACCTCGGCTCACCAATAGTGACGGTGTTGATGACAGCCCCTGACGGGGTGGGCGGCCGGCGACCCAAGGCAGATTCCGGGGGTCTGCCCTGGAAGACAGGCGGAGGTGGGCTCAGCGCTGCGGAAGAGACTAGGGATCGGCATCATGGGGCTCAGGCTATGCAGCTCCCAGCCCTTGACCGCTCACGTACGTCGGCGAAGGCCAGGTGTCCCGGCCAGGGATCAGGAAACGGCGTGCCGCCGGAAAGGGGCCCCCGGGGCCGGGCCCGAGCTCAGTAGCCCGCAGGAGCTGCCCCGGAGGTGTGAGCAGGGCCCTGACGAAGACCGGCCGCAGCCACCTCGGGAAGACCGCTTCGACGCCATCCGGCCTAAGTCTGCACACCTGGACAACCGGCGCTCCCATAACGCTTGTGCAGGCGAGAGGCGCCCTGGTACGGCACCCTGCGTCCCTTCTGCGGAGCTCAGGTACCGGGAGAACTGGCTCAAAGCCCGGAGCGCAGACTTAAAACCACAGCGCCTATTCCTAGACCAAGTGCAGCAGGTGAGCTCTCCTGCGTGGCAGGGGGCGGGATCCCGTCAACCCCAGCCCTCACGGTGGCCCACTCTTCGGTGGGGGCGTGGCCTCAGGCCTTCCAGCCCCCCCCAGTAGGCGGGCTGAGCGCGTGGGCCCCGCCCCCTCTTATAAGAGCGGTGCGGCACTGCAGCTAGCGCAGTTCTCACTGAGACCCGTCACCCAGACTCAACGTGAGACGCACCGCCCGGACTCATCATGGTGAGTGCGGCCCTGAGATAGGCCTCCTGTCCCCAATTATTCCCCTCGCCTCCTTCGCCCCCACACCTTGCTCCCGGAACCTCCAGAGAGCGTTCCAGGCATCAAGGAACTGCGAGGAATTTTGCAGCCCCCGCCTGGTGACTTTGGCCGAACAGTGGTGTCCACCTACGGAGGCTGGGGGTGAGGAGTGGGGCGAGGCAATACTCTTCACTAGCTGAGAGGAACCCTCCTGGCGGTCTGACCCTGCCCCACCAAGCATTGGTGCCCTAATCCTGCAGGGAGTCACGCGGTCCCGCGCAAGGTCTAGGGAAGATCGCTTGACTGCCCAGTACCCCTTGCCCCCACCCCCGCCTTGGAATAGAGTGAACACGTGTTTGGCCCTAGGAGGTGGAAAGAGGTCAGGGTACTTGGTTCCGCAACCGCGTTTCTTCCGACTGTATGTGCACCCCTCTTACCTACCGCCCCCCCAGTGACTCAGCACCCCGATCCTGAGCCTTGAGGGGGGGCGGAAATGGACTTCGGCTTGGGGAGGGTAGCCGGCCTTTCCAGTTCGAGCCTGGTACGCGCGGACTGGCAGAGACAGCTGGCGCTGAGCGAGGGTGCAGGCCGGGGGCCCGGTGGGGGGAGGGGAGAGAGGTGTGGGGGGAGGGGTGGTATTTATATCCTGGGAGCGGGGGCCGAAATTCAACCCCCCCCCCACCGCCTTGGGCTGGAAAGTAACTGGAAAGAATCTAGAGGGAGGGCGGATGCAGGGCCGGGGAGCCGGCTGGAGCTTACCCGCCCGGGGCAAGGCCAGTTAATTCTGGGGCCTCGCCGCAGGTTCCGCTTCCTTTTCTGGGTATTTGGTAACCGTCACCGAGCCGTTTAGAGGTGGGGAAGGGAGATTGCGCGGGCCCTGCGCCTACCACCCACCAGCCTGGTACTTCAGGGGTTAACCCGACTAGACGGGATGGAGCCTATGTAAGCGAGTGCCCCAGTGCAGGAAGCCCCTAGTGCCCGCCCTGCCCTTTGCGCCCACTAGTTTTATCGAGGTTATTTTAGTGCGGGCTGACGCGGTGCATGAAGGTGGTGAGGACGCCCAGAGTGCGGGGGTGGAGGTGGGGAGAGGAGCCAGATGGATTGCTATCCGGAGCCAGATGGGATTTAAAGGTGGGGGAAGTGGCTATCCAGTATGGTCAATTGATGTTAGCTGGAAGCTGACATACCTCTGCAGCCCACAGGAAAGAAGAGGGGAAGGGGCAGCATGAAATTCTAGTTGTTCATCCCCAAAAGAGAGAAGTCATCTGGTGGAGGGCCTCTAGCTGGACACTCAGCTCCTGAGAACCGTCTACTTCCAGGCAGGCTCTCTGGGAAGCTGGCTTTGTGGGCTGCAGGGATGAGGCTGAAAAGTCTCACGTCTCAGTTACTGCAGTGTATGCTTTGCCCTCTGAGTCTTCCCTGAGTATCCTGTGAATGTGGCAAAGTCTTGCAGAGCCACCACTCTCATTTGACACATTCCCCACTGAGAAGGAGGTGAATGGGCTGGCCTGCCCTTCTGGTGCCTCCTGCAGGGAGCCTGGGCAGACAACCAGCTTCTGCTGACCACTGCCCAACCCAAAGTCCTAACTCTTGCCAACTGAGTCATCCTACTCATTGGTAGGTAACAGGGTAGAAAGGAGGCTCATGACTTGAGGACTTATGGGTGTGGAACTTATACTGTATCCCCTCTTTTTATCCCTCAGCGTGAATGCATCTCAGTCCATGTGGGGCAGGCAGGTGTCCAGATGGGCAATGCCTGCTGGGAGCTCTACTGTCTGGAACACGGGATTCAGCCTGATGGGCAGATGCCCAGCGACAAGACCATTGGTGGAGGGGACGATTCCTTCACCACCTTCTTCTGTGAAACGGGTGCTGGGAAACATGTACCCCGGGCAGTTTTTGTGGATTTGGAGCCCACTGTAATTGGTGAGAGAAACAGGGGCAGGAATCTAGGAGGGGTTGAGGGTGGCTCTAACGTCTCTCTAGAAAGAATCTAGCTCTGGCTTCCTTAACCCTCTCTGAAGCTGAAGCAGGTAAGCTGATGCCCCCTACCAGCTGCTCTGAAAGGGATCCCATTAGGTGGTCCTGGATAGAGTGGGAGAAAAATGTGGACCAAAACTCAGTCATAAAAAAAAGGTCAGGCTTTCTGGTCTGATAGAGAGTGGTGGAATTTCCAAGACTATGGTCATGGTGATCCTTTAGCTCTGGAACTGAACTCACTCCAATTGTTTAATTTTCAGTCAAATAGAGAGGTCTATATGGAGTCCTGGTGTGGCGCTGTGGGTTAATGTGCTGGATTACAAGGTTGGTTTGAACCACAAGGTCGGCAGTTCAAGCTCACCAGTAGCTGTGAGTCAGAACTGACTCAATGGCACGTAACAGCAACATAAGGGGAACAGAAACACTAGGGAGGTACACACACCTTAGGATAATCAACCATTTGAGATCAAATAGACAGCATTTACCCAAGAACACAGTTCAGAAGGGTTAAGAAAGGAGGAATAGAAACAGGAAACATAGGGAAGAAGTAGGATAAGTGATGTAACATTGTAGGGATTGTAATCAATGGCATGAAAGAAAATATTTAAGAATTGTTGAATGAAAAACTGATCTACTCTTTAACCCTTCACCCAAAATAAAAAGTCCAAATATTTGTTTAAAAAATGTAAGATGTTGAAGAAGGCAAGTTGATGTGAGGCTGGTTTGGGCAGCAGGTCCTCTCCCACTCCACTATCACAAGGCTGGCAGAGGATGAGTGTTTCTATACATATGACCACAGCTATCATGCTGAGCACAGCCTGTGGTTTCTGCTCTAACCATGTGGGTTATACTCTTCCAGATGAGATCCGAAATGGCCCATACCGACAACTCTTCCATCCAGAGCAGCTTATCACTGGGAAAGAAGATGCCGCTAACAACTATGCACGTGGTCACTATACCATTGGCAAGGAGATCATTGACCCCGTACTAGACCGGATCCGCAAACTGGTGAGAATCTTGAAGGGAGGAAGCTTCTGAGAGTAAGAATGGTGAAGAAGACTGTTTTCAGATTTATTTCAGGGGTCAGCTCTTAATTGTACATTTCTAGAGCATGACGCTGCATCTGTGGGATACTTAGTAGTTTCTGCCTTGACTCTCAAAATAGGTTCTTAGGGAGCCCAAAGATAGAGTTCCTCAGACCCTTTTCCTATACCTACATTGCTTTCTCATTTTTGTCTTTCAGTCTGACCAGTGCACAGGGCTTCAGGGCTTCCTGGTGTTCCACAGCTTTGGAGGGGGCACCGGCTCGGGCTTCACGTCACTCCTCATGGAACGGCTCTCTGTTGACTATGGCAAGAAGTCCAAGCTGGAATTCTCCATATACCCAGCCCCCCAGGTGTCCACAGCTGTGGTCGAGCCCTACAACTCCATCCTGACCACCCATACCACCCTGGAGCACTCAGACTGTGCCTTCATGGTGGACAACGAGGCCATCTATGACATCTGTCGCCGCAACCTGGACATTGAGCGCCCAACCTACACCAACCTCAACCGCCTCATCAGCCAAATCGTCTCCTCCATCACGGCCTCCCTACGCTTCGATGGAGCCCTCAATGTGGACCTGACAGAGTTCCAGACCAACCTGGTGCCCTACCCTCGCATCCACTTCCCCCTGGCCACCTATGCACCAGTCATCTCTGCAGAGAAGGCCTACCATGAGCAGCTGTCAGTGGCGGAGATCACCAATGCCTGCTTTGAGCCTGCCAACCAGATGGTGAAGTGTGACCCCCGTCATGGCAAGTACATGGCCTGCTGCCTGCTGTACCGTGGAGACGTGGTGCCCAAGGATGTCAACGCCGCCATTGCTGCCATCAAGACCAAGCGTAGTATTCAGTTTGTGGACTGGTGCCCAACAGGCTTCAAGGTTGGTATCAACTACCAGCCACCCACTGTGGTGCCCGGGGGTGACCTGGCCAAGGTGCAGCGTGCTGTGTGCATGCTGAGCAACACGACCGCCATTGCTGAGGCCTGGGCCCGTCTGGACCACAAGTTCGACCTGATGTATGCCAAGAGAGCGTTTGTGCACTGGTATGTGGGTGAGGGCATGGAAGAGGGCGAGTTCTCCGAGGCCCGAGAAGATATGGCTGCCCTGGAGAAGGATTACGAGGAGGTGGGCATCGACTCCTACGAGGATGAGGATGAGGGGGAGGAGTAGAACAGCTGCCTGGAGTCCGTCTCTATGTTCATTGCAAAATCCTTTCGAAATAAACAGTCTTGCATGGTTTCTTGTCACCTCTGTGAGTGCTTGTACTACCGTCCCTTTATGCTGCTCATGGCCCTTTTTCCTTCTGTGGCTGAAGGTGGGACCTGCCAAAGGGCCCTTGCCAGGCCCAGACAGCCTGACCACCAGAGGGACCTTTGATGTGAGACCTAGGGGTATCCAGGGTAGAGTTGAGGACCAAGTCCTGGACCTCTGCTAGTCCCAAGCTGTTAAAGGATATGAGTCTTCACTTCCTTTCCAAGTAGGAGTTTTAAAGTCCAGTGGTTTCTGTATCTGAGTTGGACTGCTACCCTAGTCTTCCTGCTGCTTCTATATTCACCAACTCTGGAAGCAAGGCTTGGCTCAGGCTCCTCTGTACGTTTTGAGGTTTGGGCACAGGGCTGGGCTGGCCCAGACTTCCTGGGCATGGAGCCTAGTCATAAGCTTGGGGGATGGGAAAGGGCAAGATCCCATGGAGTTGTTTGTGCCACTGCTCTTCCCTGCAGCTCTGCATAGCTACTGTCACGCCATTTTGCTGGGGCTTGGGGGCTGTGCCAATTAAAGTCAGGTCTTCTCCTGTTTGTACTTTCTTTCTGGCTTTAGCCTCGTGGCTTCTGTGCTAACTGGTGGGAGCCTCCTGCTAGGGCCCTGGGGAAAATTTCAACTTTGCTAATAGGCACCCCAGGACCCACACTGACGTCAGCATGTGGGGGGGGGCGGGCATGGTTTTGTGCAGGGTGGGGTGAGAAGCTTCTATCTCAGGAGGAGACAGCCAGCCTTCTCCTCCTTGGTGATTCAGGGACACAGTGCCCCTTCCCTGGGGAGCAGGTTTCCAGTCCAGCTAAGGCAGCGCCCCTGTTTACTCAGCACAGCAGGCAGGAAGTGGCAGCTGGCCTCATGAATCATTAACCATGTGTGAGCTAGAATCTGCAAGGAGAGAGACCTGTGCCAAAATGGCTGCCACCTCCACTCCCCTTGCCTCCAGGCTAAGGCTGGGAGACCTGTCCCAAAGCTTCCTAGGGAGGGATTCTCCACCCAAAAGTCCTTTCCTGGCAAACCGGCTAGGCTACTTTGACTAAGCTACCCATCCCCCAAGCAGGTAAAAAAGTAAAAAACTAACTGAGTGTGCTTTTAGGGGCCCTGGTTCCAGTCCTTGGTGTAGGGAGAAGCCAGGCGGTTTAGTCTAAGACTAGCTAACAGAGAACTGCCCCGTGCCAGACCTAAAGGACAGTTGCCTCCTAGTGTGGCATGATGACATCTTGCTGTGCCCCACTGTACCAGCCCTTCCCACAATACTCCCTTTGCTCTCACTCCAGAAACAATGAAACAAAGAACCGTACTAACCAGCTTTCCCTTTATTTTTCTGTATATACGTTCTCTTGCTCCCAGCTTCGGAAGCAAACCATGATACTGAGCTCAGCAGAACTGCTCAGAGCCATGTACAGATTCTAAAAGTATCCCTTTCCTCTAACCACCCCTCTCAACTCAGTCAGGCACTTTGATTGCTGGGGGGGGGGGTAGGAGAACAGAAGCACAGACGCAGACTGAGCAGACTGTCCCTACTCCACCTGTCCCAGTGATGACAGAACAGTCCTGGACAGACTGGATGAAGATTCGGATGAAACACAGGAGCCTCTTTCCAAGGAACAAAAGTCCACTTCCTCACCAGGGCCACTGGTTTCTTCAGATCTGGGTAGTGTGCTGACCAGGAGGAAGGGGCTGCAGTGCCTCGACCTGAGTGAGGAGGGCAGGAAGGTGAGGACGCTGCTGGGGGTCCACAGTTGTCATGGAAACCAGCAGCTGCCGCAGGGCTGAAGAATGCCTGTTAGAGGAGGCGGGCAGGAAGACTTGATAATCCATCCCCACTTGCTAAGGCCCCCACCAGAGGAAGACAGCTGAAGTGTTTAATGTTTCTTTGACGGCTCACCTGGAGCTTTGTGGGATGCTGAGTTGGTTCTGCACAGCAAGGGCCACACTGTCACCTTTCTGGAACACCATGTCATAAGGGCCTTCACCAAACATCATGGCATACAGCACACAGCCTAGGGACTGATCACAACTTGATTAACATCCCTCCCTTACTGCTGTGGTAAAGGGGGCTGCATAAGTTAATACTGTATGATCTTAATCACAGGGTACCACCAAGGTCCAGAGAAACTGCCAGTTGTCTAGAGCTCATGCTTAGCCACTGTCCTGAGCCCTGACTTGTGGCTGTATCCACCCCGTATAAGGTCAAGGATTATACCACTTCCTGAGCAACTGAATACAGTACCAGTGACAGTTCCCAGGAAGGAAGCGAAGGGGGATGAAGACATACCATAGCTCCTAGGCCCCCATGCAGTTGAAACCAAAGACACACCCTCTACTGCACCATGGGTACAGAGCGGCAATCCCCCATCCCCACCCCGCCCAGATTCAAACCCCTATGCTCCTCACCCAGACGTCGGTACGCTCATCAATGACACAGTGGCTCTGCACAGAGAAGAGCTCTGGGGCCCGGTAGGAGATGGTGCATCGCTGGGCTGCCCAGTCCTGAAACAGTGGCCCCAGACCTCAAAAGTAGGCCATGGGCCACAGTCATGTGATCAAATTGGAGCATGGCCCAGAAGGGGATGAGGGATGGATGGACAAATGAACTTGGGAGACTTACCTGCAGGGCCAAGGCCTGACGGGAACCCTCCACATGAATGCATGCTTGATTCATGGAACCCAGGTCCATTAAAATGGGCTGCCCCTCATCTCCAAGCAAGATATTGGTAGGCTTCAGGTCTCTGCAGGGAAGTAGAAGAGAACTATAACATCCCTGGACAAGAAGGCCAAAATCCCAGGGAGCAAAAGACTCATGGGGTGGGAGGGGGGAGGGCTGTTATTTGGCAGGAATGCAGAGACCTCCTATTTCTTCTGATGAGGATCTACCTCTCTGCCTAGCAAATAAAGGCTCCTCCCACTGACCTGTGGGCATAACCTTTGGCATGAATGGCCTCAAGACCTCTGCAGATACCCAGCAGCAACAGCAGGATTTGGTCCTCAGCCAAGAAACTGCCTCTGTCCTTCAGCCTTTCTATCTCATTCCACAGCGTACCTCTCTGCAACACAAGTTCCCCCCCAGGTTTTCGGAAGCTCTTGGCTAATGTCAAAGTCTATCAATCTTTCACCACACACACCTCAAACCTCACCAAAGCAAAACTAAACCCACTGCCACCAGGTCAACCCTATAGGACAGAGAATAACTGCCCCAGAAGCCTAAGACTAAATCTTTATGACAGCAGGCTGTTCATCTTGCTCCTATAGAATGGCTGGTGGGTCTGAAATGACCTTTTGGCTAACAGCTGAGCACCTTACCCACTGTGCCACCAGATTTCACTCAAACCCCACAGTCCCACTTAAAACCAAAAAACCCAAACCAACTGCTGTCAAGTCGATTCTGACTTATGATGACTCCCCCTTGGGTTCCTCTAAAACCCCAAATCTGAGTAGCCAAGGCCAGGACACGGTATCAGCTTCCTAACATGCTTGGCTGCAGACCAGAAGTGGCTCCACTGCAAACCCCTCCATAACCAGGATCCTTCTGACCTTGAAGAAGGGTAGCAGCAACCAAGCCTCATGCTTCGGGCCCCGCTCCTTCATACTGTAAGCCACGAGGCGCAGGATGTTGGGGTGATGAAAGAGGCGATGCATGTCTGCTTCTCGCTGGGCCTCCTCTCGATCCTGCTGCTCGTGACACAGAATTCGCTTCAGGGCGTAGAAGTGTCCATCATGTAACCCCTCCACTAGGTCCACATAGCTGAACCCACTGTGGGCCAAAGGAGTAAGGGAAGGACCTTGGTCATCTCTCAGAATTCCCTGGGGGAAGGGAGCTGTTGTTCCCATTGAGCAAAAACCCAAATGAGACATGGCTACAAGTCTAAAGACTATTATACTTTCAGCTCAAGGACTGGGGCATAGACATCTCTGAGGTCCTATGATCTCATAACACAGTACTATGTACTCAGCAGATGCTCAGTAAATGAATACCCACAGCCATAAACTCGATTCCAACTTACAGCAACTCTATTGTTGCTGCTATGTGCCGTGGAGTCGCTTCCAAATCTTTACGGGAGCAGAAAGCCTCATCTTTCTCCTGCAGAACAGCTGGTAGTTTTGAACTGCTGACCATGAGATTAGCAGCCCGATTCGTAACCACTACGCTACCAGAGCTCCTTAGGACAGCAACTCTATAGGACAGAACAAAACTACTCCTTAAGGTTTCCGAGACTGTAAATCTTTACGGGAGTACACAGCTTCCTCTTTCTCTTGTTGGTGGTGAGCAGTCCAACACCTAACCCACAGTGCCACCACACTTATCAAGGCTTTATGACCAGGAACTGGGCTAGACATTTTATATGCATCATCTCAATCTTCACAATCCATCACTGAGATGCAATAATTAACCCCAATCGGCATATGATCAAACTGTGGCTTACCAAAGGAGCACTGGGTTGTTGCTAAGTGCTATTGAGTCAGTTCTGACTCATAGTGACCCTGTATAGAGGACTAGTAAGCACGGTGGTCCTGTAGAATAAGCACTGTACTGCTAAACACAAGGTTGGTAGCTTAAACCCGCCAGCCGCTCCGTAGGGAGAACGATGAGGCTTTCTGCTCCCATATGGCACTTAACAACATGGCTTACCAAAGTCACACTAGGCGAATCTAGGAGGCCTGGCTCCAGATTTTAATTTCTTGACTCAGGTGAGTGCAAGGATAGAGCTAAAATCCTTCCGCACCAATCATGTGTGAACTGACATCCTTCAATCACTAAAACCTGGGGCCTCCCTAAGTGATTACCAACACTCACCCCTCCCCAAGTCTCTGGATGAAGAGGTAGCGCTTATTGTCAATGATGATAGTTCCCCGAGAGCAGACACACAGAGCATGGCCCATACTGCCTCGTTCATCCTCCTCAAGCACGGTCTGAGGCTACTGAAGGTTCTTCCAGGATGAGTGGGCTCTTCCAGGCAATGCGCTGAGGGCCCAACAAATCATGCTGTAAAGAACAGAAAGGTAAAGTCGGAGGTCCGGCCCAGAACAAGGCGACCCCTTAGGCAGCAACGCAGAAAGCACAAGCCCAGAGCAGCTAGGGACCTCTAGAGGAAACGGGCCCAGGCAACGTCAGTTCCAAGAAGGCAGGAGTTAAGTGCCTGGCAGCTTCAGGCCGCTTCCGCTTACACTAGGCCACTTTTGGGCGGCCTCCGCTCCCACTCCCGTCGGGCTGCAAGGCAGGGCTAGGTAGTTCGAGAGAGGGGCGAAAAAGCTAGGGCCCACCCCTTGCAAGCAGGGCCTACCCTCGGCAACCGCGCGCAGAGCCCAGGGTCCGCCAGTCCCGACTCCCCACTGACCAGGCTCGAGCTAAAGAGAAGCCCTAGCGACCGGAAACGACGATTGCATCATCAGTTCGCGCCGGCGTAACGGCCCGTGGTATCCTAGCAACCGCTAGGCGCCCGGACGATGTAGGGGCGCGAAGCTGCTAGGGTGGGGGCAGGCTAGTCCAGGGTAGGACGGGTCCCAGGACCCAGGCGAGGGTTCCCACCTGGCCTTCAATCGAGGTCAAGACGCAGGCACTTGCGCCAAAGGGGAGCAAAGCCGGGCTCGGCCCGAGGCCCCCAGGACCTCCATCTCCTAATGCCCGAGGTAGGAAGTTTCATGCCTCCGGCGCGCTGGGGGCAGAAAGCAGCCTTCTCCGTACAGCCCAGAGGGGGATGCAGAGAGAGGCGGGTGCTCACGATCTGGATTGCTGGAACTCTGATCCGTAGAACCTTAGGGGCTCAGGCTTGTATCCCACCATCTTAGTATTGGTGGTTTAGAGCTCAGACTCATGAACCAAACTGCCAGAGTGGAAATCCGAACTTAAAAGCCCATTAGCTGTGTGACTACAGGCAAGTTACTTAACTACTCCGAGTCTTACTTTCCTATGCCTTTATCCTTCAGCCTTTCTATCTCATTCCTCAGCATACCTTTAAGATACAAGCCAAAGCCCGGAAGATTGTAGAGTACTGTGAGGCCAGACTGCTTCTTTCCATACCACCTATGAACAGGTCACTTAATATTTCTATTTCCTCATCTGTAAAACAGGGACAATTAACTACCTCAGAGTTGTTTGAGGCCTAAATGAGAAGTAAAGTGGGACCTCTGTGACTCTGTAGGATAAGCATTAGACCGGTAACCACAAGGCCAACTGCTGGCTCCCTGTGAGAAAGATTAGCCTTTCTGCTCACGTAGAGTTACACCCTCAGAACCATACAGGGTCGCTATGAGTGCTTAGCTCAATAGCTAACATACTCTGTGGGTGTTGGGGAATGCGGTGGCTCTGTGGGATAAGCACTGGACTTCGAATCACTAGGTCAACAGTTCGAGCACATCAACCACTCCAAGAGAGAAAGATGAGGCTTTCTGCTCCCACAAAGATTCAAATCCTCTACAGGATCACTATGAGTCGTAACCGATTGGATGTTACTTAACAACAACAGCAAATTAGTTTGATCCTCACATCCCAGACTGTGACGCAGCAAGAATGGAGCGTCACAAATTCCCAAACCTTGCCACTAAGCAGTTACTCTTAGCATCTCTTGCTTAGGTGGCAGGGATAAGTCGGGGAGTGATAAAACGGAATGAATAGCCAAGATGGGTCCTTTTGCTCAAAAGGCTCTGCAGGAAAAAGATCCCTTTTGTAACCTAGTTCTGGTTCTGGGCTTGCACTTTGAGAAGCTGGATGCAGAAAAGTTTACAATCTAGTAAAAGTGGCTGCAAGCTGGAGACAGAACTCCGGGGTAATGGGATGGCAACTTGGGGTGGTCTCCGCCCCCTTGCTCGCTGAGGTTTCCTCCCAGGAATCCGCCACGTGACGGTTGGACCGCAGTCTCAAATTGTGGGAGTCCTGCAGGCGCCATGGCTCCTAAGAGGCCGCCCTGCCTTTGCTCTCTGCTGCTGTCCCTCCTGACGCTGCTGCTGCTGCCCCAGGTAAGAGGGTTTACCAAAGCCGGCGGAATTTGGGAAAGCAAGATAACAGCGGGCAGTGCTACTTCCACCTCCTTGGCAGACTGTTCCCACGCCAGGCTCCTGCCGAGCACCGTCTCTCTTTCCCTTTGCAGGTAGACGCTCGGTCTTTCGTAGTGGATAGGGATCATGACAGGTTCCTCCTGAACGGGGAACCATTCCGCTATGTATCTGGCAGCCTGCACTACTTCCGGGTACCGCGCGTGCTTTGGGCGGACAGACTTTTCAAGATGCGAATGAGCGGCCTTAATGCCATCCAGTTGTAAGAAGTGCTCCCGAGAGCCGTGGAGGGGCGGAGTTTATTTACCCTTTGACCCACGCCCTGGGGAAGAGGGTTGCCACGGCTCTGTATGGTGAGGTGCTAGAGCTCTAGGGCACCCAGGTTAAGGGTTGGAAAGGGCTGTCCAGGATCATTTAACAGCTTCCAGGAGATTCTTGGGGGACCTGATCCCTTAGTCTCCCAGGCACCTCCCCACCTTGGGCCCTGTTAACCTCTTCCTTCCTCAGTTATGTGCCCTGGAACTACCATGAGCCAAAGCCTGGCATCTATAACTTTAATGGCAGCCGAGATCTCATTGCATTTCTAAGTGAGGCAAATAAGGCGAACTTGTTGGTCATACTGAGACCAGGACCTTACATCTGTGCCGAGTGGGAGATGGTGAGTTAGTTGGAGAGTGGATAGAAGAGCCAAAGCCACCCTGTGTAGTTCCTAGACAACTCCCATCTGCCCACACCTTAGGGGCTCCTCCAGCATCTCACTCAAACTTCCTTCTTCCCTTTTTATCTCCATCCCGAAACAACAAAACCTACACTTTTCCTTGTTGTGTTTATGTCTGTCTCAGGGGGGTCTCCCATCCTGGTTGCTTCAAAAACCTAAAATTCATCTGAGAACCTCAGATCCAGGTGAGTTGATACAGATTTAACAAAAAAGCCAAATCACAACAGATGGTTCAGGTTTCAGAGAATTGCTTGAGGACGTGAGGTATAAGTTAAGCATGTGTTGTAGCTGGCCAGGTGACAAAGGTGAGGAGAAAAAAATGTCAGGCAGAAGTAGTAACTACCTGAGGGTGAATCACAAAAAATCACAAGGAGCTGGGAACTTAAGGCATGTAAATCATGTAAGCAATGATCTTCCAACAGATGGCGTAAATCAACTGGACTGTACACTAGAGTATAGATTACACATTTCTGTGAATTCCCATGCTACTTCACAATAACCTCAGGTATAAGTTAATTACATAATAATAAATCTGTGCTTAACATTTTTGTTAGTTAAAAACCAGACTCCTAAGAAACACTGTTTTAAGGACTCCCATGTTCAAGTTCCATTGACATGCACATATATGAGCGCTTAGGGTTGACTTTCTTCTCACTAGTCAGTGCTTCCCAGATTTAGTTGTGGGTAAGTGGGTTGGAGACCACAGCCCCCTGTGCGGGCAGCACCGAAGCTGCTAGCATTGATGCTTGAGTGCACAGAGGTTGTGATGGTCTCTGTGCACTCAGAGAACACTGCTTCTTCCTTTAGACTTCCTTGCTGCAGTGGACTCCTGGTTCAAGGTCTTGCTACCCAAGATATATCCATGGTTGTACCACAATGGGGGCAACATCATTAGCATTCAGGTACAGGTGGAAATTTGACTGGGCTAGAAGGGAATACGAGGAACACTTTACCTCATTGCTGAATTCCTCTTCCCCTTACTCCTGGCAGGTGGAGAATGAATATGGTAGCTACAAGGCCTGTGATTTCAGCTACATGAGGCACCTGGCTGGGCTCTTCCGGGCACTGTTAGGAGATAAGATCTTGCTCTTCACCACAGATGGGTCTGAAGGACTCAAATGTGGCACACTCCAGGGACTCTACACCACTGTGGATTTTGGCCCAGGTCTAAGCAAGGGACAGGAATATGGTCAGGGAAGCGGCACCTCTTCTGCAATGTTTAACTTTCACCTTTTCTTCCCTTCTGCAGCTGACAACATGACCAAAATCTTTACCCTGCTTCGGAAGTATGAACCCCGTGGGCCATTGGTGAGGGGCCAGAAGCGGGGAAAGCAAAGCAAGAGTCATGCCTTGGGACAGGTCAAGCTCCGTTCCCATCTTGCTCACCCCTTTCTCCTTTCACATCACACTCTAGGTGAACTCTGAGTACTACACAGGTTGGCTGGATTACTGGGGTCAGAATCACTCCACTCGGTCCATTTCAGCTGTAACCAGAGGACTAGAGAGCATGCTGCAGTTGGGAGCCAGTGTGAACATGTAACTGGAGGCACTGGGGCCAGTGAACATGAATCTGTAACCGGGAGTTGGGGATGGCAGTTAAGATTTAATGAGTCAGCTTCTACCTTTGCCCCTCCCCTCCCCCACTTCAGGTATATGTTCCATGGAGGTACCAACTTTGGATACTGGAATGGTGAGTCCAGGTAGTTCTTGGGGTAGAAAGACTGGAGGCAGCAAGGAATTAGAACTTTAGGGCTGGGTGGATCAAGACATCTAGGCCCTATTGCTACCTGCGATGGCAAAATTCACTGCATCAAACCCATTCTTTGCTTAGTGCATATGACATGAAAGGTATGTTGAATTAAATTGGTTTTCCCCCAGGTGCTGATGAGAAGGGGCACTTCCTTCCAATTACTACCAGCTATGACTATGATGCACCCCTCTCTGAAGCAGGAGACCCCACACCTAAGCTTTTTGCTATTCGAAATGTCATCAGCAAGGTACCCTGTTACTTCATCAAGCTCTGAAGGCTTTGATTACTTTTGGGGAAGGGAGTAGTTGTTTGTGAAGGGTTCCTATAAAGCAGTGGGTCTTGCCTGAGCCACAGTCCTGTGTGTCCCATGGAAGCATTTTCCAGCTACCCATTCACATGTGACTATGTGTAGAAAGATACATGTGTGCAAAATTACAACCCTTCACTGGATCCCAGCTACATGAGGCTCCCTGCTCTAGAGCCTTGAAATAGGGGTTGTTTCTGTGGTTTTTCTATGGCTCCTCAGAGCATTTGGTTTCAGTTCCAGGAAATTCCCTTGGGACCATTACCTCCCCCCAGCAGCAAGATGAAGCTTGGGCCTTTGACTTTGCACATGGTAAATTCTTCTGCCTCTTTATTCTCAATATGCAATCCTGTCCTGTCCCTCTAGTCTGACGTTTTATCCTTATTCTCATAGGATGGGAGTTTGCTGGCTTTTCTAGACGTTTTGTGCCCCAAAGGGCCCATCCGTTCAATCTTGCCAATGACCTTTGAGGCTGTCAAGCAGGTAAGGCAAAAACTCACACCTGGTAGGTATGGAAACCTTCTCGACAGTTTATAGCCATAAGTTTCCTCCAGCTACCCACTTGCCCACAGTATTCTGTTATTTCTCAGTTCATCTTTAGTACTCATTTTCCATACCCAGGATCACGGCTTTATGTTGTACCGGACCCACCTGGTCAATACGTTTACAGAGCCAACATCATTCTGGGTGCCGAACAATGGACTTCATGACCGTGCCTATGTGATGGTGAATGAGGTATGAACTTATTTCCAAGCTAACTTCTAAACCCCAATTTCTAGCCCTCCCCAGCACTCTTTAGCTTTAAGTTCTCCATATCTACCCTTTTCCACCTCCCTGCTAAAGTAGGCCTGTGCATCAGCCACAAGCTAGATGCCAAGCCCTTCTTCTCACAGAGCCTCTCTCTTGTCCACAGGTGTTCCAGGGTGTATTGGAACGAAACATAAAAAGCAGATTATTTTTGATGGGAAAAATGGGGGACAGATTGGATGTCTTGGTGGAAAACATGGGGAGGCTCAGTTTTGGGTCTAACAGCAGTGACTTCAAGGTGAGCTGGCTTTGTCCACCTCTAGTCCCTAAAACCCTTCATGACCATTTTCCTTTGTAAGGGTAGGGACCTACTGGATGCTAACCAGAGCCACCTCCTTGGGAGTCAGGAAGAGAAGTAGTATGGCTTGTAGGGATATGAACAGGGCTTGGTTAGGAATCTAGTTTGGCCTCGGAGATAAGCGGCTGATGCGTTCTCATTTGTCTTCCCCACAGGGCCTAGTAGAGCCACCACTTCTGGGGCACGCAGTCCTCACCCAGTGGCTCATGTTTCCCCTGAAAATTGATAAGCTTGTCAAGTGGTGGTTTCCTGTCCAGATACCAAAGAGGTCATACCTTCCAACTCCCTCAGGCCCCACCTTCTACTCTGCAACCTTTTCAGTTTCAGACTCAGTAGTAGGGGACACATTTCTGCATCTACCTGGATGGTCCAAGGTATTGCTGATGGTGAGCGGGTGGTAAATGAGGAAAATTGTGGCCCAAGGGGGGCGGGATTACTCCCCTGCTGGAAACCCAAAAGGAGCTGATTCTTTCTCATCCCTGAGAGGTGACCCTTGCTTTTTCTCTCCCCCTCCCTAGGGCCAAGTCTGGATCAATGGGTTTAACTTGGGTCGGTACTGGACAAAGCGGGGCCCACAGCAGACCCTCTATGTGCCAAGACCCCTGCTGATTCCTAGGGGCACCTTCAACAAAATCACATTGCTGGAACTAGAAAATGTGCCTGCTAACCCCCAAATCCAATTTCTGGACAGGCCTATCCTCAATAGCACCTTACACAGGACCTACTTCAATGCCTTCTTAGCTGATGAACAAATGGAGTTAAGTGGACACTGAAAGAAAGTTAACCCATGGCCCTGGAGTGGTCAGGATCCCTTGGTGCTGGCCATGGTGACCATAACGAACCAAAGGCCCTCAGGGCTGAATGCAAGTACAAACGCGGTTTCTTTGCCAAACTTTATTATGATTAAAGTTCCAGAGACAGTACCAGCTCCACACACTTCTGTGGCCCTGTCTTTGTCCTGGTTCCTGAGTATCCCTCGTCCTAATTTTCCAAATACTCTGGCTTTCTGGGGAAGAGATAGCTAGAACTAGTGTGAATGTGCCCTCTCAGGGCCTGACGTTGGTCCAGGTAGAGCAGTTAAGAGATCAGGAAGAGGGTCTCCCGGCCCGAGAGCGATGTTCCTGGAGGCAGCGAGTGGAGCAGAAAGAGAAGTCCAGGTAGTGAAAGGGAATGAGGCCTTGGAGGGATGCCCCACAGCTCCAGCAGCGTCTGAAGAAGAGGAAGAAAAATGGCTGGCAGCTACCCCCAAATCTGTGCAATCCAAAGCCTCCTCACCCTTTTCTGGCCATTTCCAGTTTTATTTCAAAGGTTCCCAGAACACCTCAAATTCTTTCAACAAGCCTTCTCAATACTGTGTGGGTACTCCATTCATTTGCCTCAAATGGTTCCTACAACATTCTATTCCACCCACTCACACCATTCTCCCTACCGGGCATTGATGATCACAGGGTCAGGGATCTGAGGAGTAGGGGCTCCCAATTGGGCAGCTAGTCGGCGCTCTGCAGCAAGAGCTCTCTGAAGACAAAAAGCTGTATTTAGGATAAGGCCCCAGTTGTGCATCAGGTGGCTGCACACTGAAGGGAGTGGTCTCTAAGGAGGCCCTGCTGTGTAAGAGCTCAGCCTCACCTTCTCTCGGTCACTGAGGGCAGCAAATCTCTGCTGCTCTTCTTGTTCCCACTTCTCCTGCTCCCGCCGCCTCCGCTGCTGTTCGTCCCTTAACCGCCGGGCTGCCTTCTGTTCTCTTTTCCGTGTGGCCTGCCGTGCCTCCATTTCTGGTGTCAGTGGCCCTGGCACCTAGAAGATTTCAGGGGCCTTAGTAAAACTGCAAGAAAACAGAAAAGCTCTAGCCAAGATGTGTGATGCCTTCCCACTCTTCTCTCCTTTTCCAGCTGACCTGAGCCTTGTTGTAATCATAGGCATCTGGATTCTTCTCCATGAACCTTCGGAACTCATTACGTGTTGATCTGTCAACTGCAACCGTATATGGTGGCTGGGCCCGGAAGTCCCTAGGTGTGAAACCCACCAAGATGGGTCAACTTGCCTCCCATCTTTCCCAGAATCACCCAAGCATACAAAGGGAATACCCATCAAGCAGCCAATGCCAACTTTAACCTCCAAACCATCTTCTAAATCCAAAATAGCTCAAGATGGGGCCTCACTTACTGCACAGTGGGGTCGGCACCTGCCTCCAGCAGCAGGCGAACCACTGAGCCTCTCCCAGCAGCGGCGGCTGCATGTAAGAGCGTGAAGCCTCCAGGGCCAAAGGGGGCACTGAGCAGAGACAGAACTCCAGGGTCTATGGAGCTCGCAGCTAGTTGGAGCTTCAATATCCTTACATCTCCGGCTCGGCAAGCAGCTAGAAGCACACCCCAGAGTTCTGGCTGACCAGGAGCCTTGGCCTCATCTAGCAAAGGATCGTTTGGGGCTGTATGTGCCTGGGATTTAGCTGACTCTGAGAGAGTCTCATCTTTTAGAGACTCCTCGGAGAGAGTCCTATGTGCACCAGCTTCCAGCTCCCGGCTTCTCTCCTTTTTCCTTTTCTTTCTGCGCCGCTTGGGCAACACCTCAAACTCACGAAGATCCAGGGTCCCCAGAGTCATCTCCACTAGTTCCAATTCCACCTGGAAGCTGTCCTCTCCCTCTGACCCTGAACCTAGGGAAAAATATGACATTAAACCCACCTAAAAGGAGCTCGGAAACCCTGTACAGGGTCGCTATGGGTCGGAACCGACTCGACGGCACTTAACAACAACAAAAGGAGCTCTGGTAGCATAGGGGTTACCAATCGGGCTGCAAACCGCAAGTTCAGCAGTTCGAAACTACCAGCTGCTCCGTGGGAGAAAGATGAAGCTTTCTGCTCCTGTAAAGATTTACAGCCTCGGAAACCCTGTTCAGGGTCGCTATGGGTCGGAACCAACTCGACGGCACTTAACAACAACAACAAAGGAGCTCTGGTAGGGTAGTGGTTACAAGTTGGGCTGCCAACCTCAAGGTCAGCAGTTCGAAACTACGAGGAGTTCCACGGGAGAAAGATGAGGCGTTCGGCTCCCATAAAGATTTACAGCCTCAGAAACCCAGTGCAGGGTCACTATGAGTCGGAAATGACTCCACGGTACTTAGTAACAACAACAAAGGCTAAGCAGAGGGTGAAAAGAATGTGGGGTGCCACAAAATGTATATAAAGAGATAATCTTGAAATCAAATTAAGGGGTGTTTTTTTTTTTTTTTGATCACCCCAGAAAAAGTCAGAGTCCTGGTGTGGCGTTGTAGGATAAGCATTGGACTGCTAGCAACACAGTCAGTGATTCAAACCTACCAGTCACTCCTCGGAAACCCTATAGAGGATTACTATGAGTCAGTACTGACTCAAAGGCACTTAATAATAGCAAGAGAAAGTAGCACATTAAGGACTGAATCCGTTAGTATAAAATGCAGAAATGAGGCTCTGAGCCCAGCATAGGGTAGACCAAAAAAGACTGGCAGGGGCAAGTCTCTCAACTCTTAGCTTAATGTATACAATAGAGGAAAGTCTGAGAGCAGGGTAAGGATCTGCAGTCATTGAAGCAGCTTTTAGCCCCCAAATCCAGCAAAACAGCAGATTCACACAACATGTCTATTCAAGCTTTGTTTTGTGTCAAGATTGTTCTAAGTACTGGGGATACATGAGTGAACAAAAGAGATAACTGATTTGGAAAGACAGCCACTGAGTATGTCTCAGTAATTGCTGTTACACCCTGTTTTAGATGCAGACCCTGGAGTAGGTGTAAAATGTGTACTGGAGTGGAAGGGCCATCTGTAAATAGGGAACTGGGTATGTGATCAGGGTAGTGAATTTGCCACTGCATTTCTATGACAGATTCCTATACAGGGATTAACAATTGTCAAATGGGGCTCAAACCCTGTTTGGGAGACTCTGCATTCTGCCCAAGTGCTTCATTTTCATCACGTGGGACTTTTCTTCTTTCTTCCTCAATAGCTGCCTTCCTCTCATTCCTTGTTTTCCAGTGTGTATGAGGGGAATCCAATCTGACTGTCTCTCGGGGGTCTTCTCCTGCCATTAAACAAATGATTGTTCTTAAGCCCAGATGAGTTGCTAGTCCTAGTTGTGGTTGGGCTAGAAAATTCTTTGGATACCCACTTGGGGATTGAGGCTTGGGCTGGACCGTACAAGGTCTGGGGGTCTAGATCAAAGACTCACCGTGGACATGCAAAGTGGTCAACTTATGGAGCACGTGCTCTAACTCTCGGAAGGTAGGTCTGCGGGTAACGAGGGGGATATTCCAAATCCGGGGATCCCCTCGTTGCAGGGGTGCCTCACGGCCTCCAAAGAACAAGGGTCGGCCAGAGCGGGGGGCACGCAGCAGAATGGTCTTGGCCTCCCTCAACGCCTCAGCCCAGCCTGGTCCTGCCAGCAGATCACGGACTTCCTACAGGAAAGAGAGTAATTCACATCTACTTGCTAGTCTAAAATCTACAACCAAAAGTAACCCACAGATCACAGAGGTAGGAAAGAACAAAGAGGGAGTACTAAGGCTCCTGGGAATTCCTTTTCTACCTTTCTTTGCCTAGAAATGGAATTGAAAGGGAAACAAAAGTGTGGACGAGAGGAGCATCAGCTTTGGGAGGTTTAACTCACCTTATATAGTGTGACTTCATTATAGCGCCTCAGGTTAGCTCCGGCGGAGCGAGAAGCCCTACCCCGGACATCCCGAACCCCTTGGGCTGTTCCCCGCTTGGCCCGTACAGTGTAGCGGTGAAAGGTTTTGTGGGCCACCACTTCTCTTCTGTAGACAGCACAATTTCAGTACTGGAGACCAGCTGGGGCTCCCAGGCTAACAGGATCCAGTCCACCCACACCCCAGGCAGCACCCTCTCACCCTTGGAAAATGGCACCAGCAAAGTGGCCAGCTGCAGCCATGAGTACCACAGAGTGTCTGGGACCTCCACTTTGCAAATTCTGTAGCAGGATTTCTACATCATCTAGGGGTACCTGGATGACAGAGGAAAAGCACATTCTGCCTGTTACAGTCACAGAAAGCAGGTCACAAGGCAAAACCAGAACGAATCCTGAATTTGTAATGTGGGGGAACAAGGACAGTAACTGGAAATGGAAAAATTATGAATCAACGGTCTGTTAGAAACTTAGGCTCCCTCTTAGAAAACAAGGTTTAGAATGCACATTGTATAGTAACCAAATCTTTGTGTATGGGTATACTTCTACTCTCCCTCCCACACCTGCTCAGACTAAAGAACACCAAATCTCCTGACCAACAGAAACAGCGAGTGCTGTCCTGTGCAGATAGTAGTGGTTGTATGTACTGCTATAAATGTGGGGCGCTTGCCACAATCCCAGCAAGAATCCAATCACCGGCAGCAGACTCCTGAACAGGCTCAACCAGCCTCTTGCCAGTCTCCCATTTGAGAGCTTTGACCCGTAATTTTTCCCATTCTGTTTGCTGTTCTGCTTCATCCAAATTTTAAAAAACTCAGGTCTGTTCTGACTTCATTTCATCCATCATGACCGATCCAGTGAGAAGCCCTGATTAAAAGCAAGAAACTAATTCTGAAGAGACAGACTCCCAAGTGTCAGTGCTGTTTCATTTAACACAGCCATCCTAACAATGGTCTCCATTTTACAAACCAAGACATTAAAGGCTTGTAGTTGTAGCCAGGATCAAGTGGTAAATTCAACAGAAACCTAGATCAAACTGTTCCCAAACTTTTTTCCTTTGCAATGAATCCTTCCCAGATTCAGGTCAGTTTAACCTAAGACTACTGCCAACAGTGATAACTTATCCCCAGACAGAAGCGACAAATAGACTCCACAACATTTAACAACAACAAAGGGATATCTAGGTAGATTACACAAAACGCTGGGGTTGACCACACACCTGTGCTGTAACTTACCTGGCGAGGGCCTAGGATACAGCGGTAGGCAGAGAGGAACTGGCCCTGTGCATTTTGGAAAAGAACCCGATGGGAGGGAAAGCCTCGTGGATGGTTGGGCTTCTCAAATTCAGCCCTCTCCTCACCCAATATCTGCAAGTCTTCCTCACTGGCTGAGTCTGAGTCTTCTGATCCTGAGATGCTGGACAGATCCCCTGTGGACAACAGGATGTAAGTTTAACACCCCAGCTCCTAAGCCTTCCCCTGTCTCCATGCCGTATTCCCATCCAAGTTTCCCCCCAGTAAGCACCTGCGGAGCTCTGCTTTTCAAAGTCCAGGGCAGACAGGAGAGGCTTGTCCTTAAGCCGTTGCTTTAAATTAAACCGATGCCAGTCAAGCTTATAATGTTCCCTCTGGTAGGAAGCAAAAAGGGAAGCAAAAGGTAGAAATATGATCGTCAAGAGCAGGAAAAGAGCTCCAGGAAGTAATGCAAGTAACACGCACTTCCTTCATCATAGTGTTTGTTGTTATTCTTGATGCCAAGTGCCATCGAGTCTGCTCTAGCTCTAACTCAGCAGCCCTGTACAGAGTTTCCAAGAAGCGGCTGGTGAGTTTGAACTACCAACTTTGTGGTTCTAACTGAACTTGAGGTCCAGTGCTTTGATTATCACATAGCACCATACCAGGACTCCTAGTCAAAGTGTTGTTGTAAAGTACCATCAAGTCATTTCCAACTCAGAATGACCCTGTACAGGGTTTCCAAGGAGCAGTTGGTGGGTTTGAACCACTAACCTTGCAGTTCAAATATACCTTGTGGTCCAGTACTTATCCTACAGCACCACAAAAGTTGACCTCTCCCCAGCCACCATTGTAACTATGCTTCTAACATCTTGCCCTGCAGTCTAGCCTTTTACCTGCTCCTGGCGATTCTGGAAGGTCTGGTCACAGGTTGAACAATATAACTTCTCCAAAATATCTGAAGGACCCTGCAGTAAGTCATTTTCTTCCTGGGTTTGCTCTCTCCCCTGAACCTAAATACGGAGAGGGTGATTAGAGGCAGAAAAAGAGTCCAATTCCACAGTACAAAGCAGAGGAGGATACAAACAAATGTAATGCCTTATCTTAAGGAATTCACAATCTAATACTAATGCAATAAATGAATTATCAATCAATTTCCATAATAAATGTGTTTCTAAAAAGGAATACATGAACTGAATACAAATCAAACATTAAATTTAAATGAACCAAAGGGATTGTTCAGAGGAATATTGTAAAAAATAACTTGTGGTATGGTCTGTAAAAAACCACTTCCCAGAGAAACAAGATGGCAGACCGGGTGGAAGTGCAGTGAGGAGCTCCGTCAGCAACGACACAGCATAGCAGACCAAGCAGGCTCAGGGGATGGTGCCAGAACTCTGAACCACATATAAAGGAATATTTAGAAGGTTGGAAAGCTTACAGCTAGGCGAATCTGTAACAGAATCAAGAAATCCATTGCTATCTAATTCAAGATGCTCAGCTGCTTCCAGAGCCACCATCTTGGGCAAACCCAAGCTGGGGAAGGATCAGAGCAGCCATGGATGCCTGACAGAACCATAGAGATAAAAGTGTGGACACTCTTTTTTTTTAAATATGTGTTCATTGGTCTCTCGCTGGCTGTGCACCTCCAATATGGTGACTAGAGGGAGTACCTGATCAAGTGGACACTCCACCATGCCCCCGGAGGGTTCTACTATGCATACACACAGATCTCCTCGAAATTTAAAGTGACAGTTTCCACTTAAAACCAAACGTCAGTGCAAAACAGCCACAGCAGGCCCTGAACTGTTTATCACTAGGAAAAAGGCCTGAACAGGGATTATGGAGTGGGACAGGCAGACTAAAAAGGAAAGACGCTGAAAATTAAATCCTGAGTTACGTCACAATGACCAACAGGGGCATCTTGAAATTTCTCAGGAAGAAGGGTGAAAAGGGAAGCCCATCTCCTGATCACATTTACCTGGAGGCAATCAGAAAGAATAAAAAATACCAAAGCACACACCCATCTAAGTATTAAGGCCACAGATAACTCCTGAATATGCCCAAAAAACAAGCAGATGACCATATCAGCACATGTCCAGAAACAAGATAAAGTGACTGAGGCAAATGAGCTGGAAGTAAACCTACATTCCATACTGAAAGATGGGCAGGCTTTGGAAATGCCTGAGAAGGAATTCAGAAAAATTATTATAAAATGTATCAAAACACTATATAATGGAGTTGAGAAAAAAAAGGGAAAAGTCAGGAAAGTGCTATAGGAACAATCAAATAAGATAGATACAGCATTGGAAAGAATTCAAAACCTACAGAAAGAGGTCCAAATGATTAATAATAGAATATCAGAAATGGACAATACACTCAAAGGGCAAAGGAGTAGAATTGAAGAGACAGAAGCCAGCACTAGTGAGCTAGAAGATAAATTTCTCAACACTACTAAGATAGAAGAGCAAGCACAAAAAAGGATGAAAAAAATCAGAAGAAGGTCTAAGATTCATGTTGGACAATATGAAGAGGAATAACTTAAGAATTATTGGCATTCCAGA